TGGGTAACTTTGTTTTAAACACTAAACAAACAAAAAAAACCAAATTAGGTTCTTAACACTGTGAGCTCTTATTTCTCATTTTTATAGCGACTTGTAATCACTGAGGGTTTGACACCAAAATATTAATGTAATAATGTTGTCTGCTTGGTCACTTGGTGTTTTTCCTAGCAAGAAAAGGTTACACCTTATCTCCTGTAGTTCTTTTATTAAAAAGATTTAAATCTTTTGACACTGGTAACTAAAGATAAAAATCACTTCGCTGTTTTTACAGGTGGTTGCCATTTAGGTTAACTTTCCTTGCATTTATAGGCGTAAAACTACTGTCTTTAAAATATGTAACTTTTTTTCTGCATCCTATTAGCTTTTCTTTATTATGAATGACCCGCTAAAAACTTTTCATCATAATATTGATCATTTAGTTGAAAAAATCAAAAGTATATTAATTTAGTCTTAGTTTCATGTAGGTTTCATCTATATTATATAACAATGATAAAAAATATTTCCAACTTTCATAGACCTGTAACACAACTCTTCTTGATGAAATAGGCACTTCTAAAATGTGACCAGATGCTGTAGAATTGGAGATCTGTGCCACAGCTGTGAAATAATGTACTGGGTCTAGCTGGGATGTAGTTAAATTTCTTCAGAGCAGCCCATATAGTGCTATGTTTTAGTTTTATGGCTGAAACACAGTGGCTCTCCTCAATCTCTGGAATCCATCCCCCCTGCCCAGTGGGCGACTCTAAGTGTTAAGTGTTGATACCCCACAGGACCCACATCCAGGAATATGCCAGAACACCAATAACCTCTAGCTTCCTCCTCAATCAGCAAGATGTGAACTCCTCCTCCTATTCCAAAAATATTCAGTTGCACTTTCCCCTGGCTTGTGTGAAAACTGTTCGTGTATTCAGGCAAGCTCGGGTCCGGATCACAGGGTGATATGTGTTTTAGCGTATCTCTGATTATTTCTATCATTTGACTGCACCTCCTTTTTAAGGAGAGGTCAGGCTTGTCATCTGGGTCACCCCTGATGTCCCCATCCCAAGTATCAGGATCGGCACATAACTAAATTCCTGACTTGGGTGGGAGAGGGTTTGGGGCATTTGACAACAAAAGACCTAATTTTTTCCTGTAACTTCCATCTTTCAAAAAACAATTGTCCTTCATGAGCCCTTAAGGTCTTTCATTCTTCCTCAGAAGCAGTTTTGGTAGCCTCAACTTCAGTTTGCCATTCACAGAGCTTTTACTACAACCAGTCAGTGCACCTGCCTCCAAGTTAGCTACACCCATTTTCTTAACAGCCTCAGATTTCTGTGTCTTCTCCCGTGCATGGGTTAAACATACTCCAAAAACAGTACAGAGGATACCTTTACTTTTTCTGTCTTTTTTCTTTTGTTCCTCCTTACACTGCTCTACCCATTCCACCACTTTCTCCTTACTTTTCCACAACTCTTAGCCTTCTCCCTAACTGCAGGAGAGGGTTTACAGCCATGTTTCTGCAATAGCTCTTCCATTATATAGCCTGTGGGAACTGGCGAGTGATGTCCTTTTCTCCAGTTTTTTTTGTCCTCTTTCTTTCACCTATTACACTGTCTTTATTTCAGCCCACAACTTTTCTAGTGTTTGTTTTTGCATTTTCTCCTCGTGTATTTCTAGCGGGGGAGGGATGGCACGAGCAGCTTTGTGGTTGCTTGGCTGCTGGCCAGAGCAAACACACCGCAGAAAAGTAGTGGCTCATTCAGTTTTTTTTCTGTACTCAATGTACTCATAGTATATTTCTCTTAAATGCCTTTGGATTTGACCATCTAGTTCTATGATTAGAGAATATTTTCAAAGCATAAGCTGATTGAGCACACCAGGTATTTTTCAGTTTCTTCTCCAACACCCAGAACTTTTTATATACTTTTTTTTTTTTTTTTTCTTTTCCTGGCAATGACATTCTTAGAGTAATTGCTTGATTTTAGCTTGTTTTGGTTTGGTTTTAATCAGGTTGTTTATAGTGCATTCAACAACAATCTTTTTATTTGATCTGCTGTTTTATTGACTATATTTTGTGTAATGATAGGTTTAACTCATGAATATTTGGATGTATAGTAAGAAACCAATAGATCAATGAATGAGTTCTGCAATGTTTGTGCTGTCATCTTTATTTACTATTTTTTAAAAAATCTACCTTTATAATGATTGGCAAAATCTTCTTCAGTGACACTTCATATAGAGTTCTGTGCTACTCATCATGAATAGTGACAATAAAAATTAATGTTGAGAATGTCTTCAATCTCTAATGCTTTAGATAACATTCATTGGCCTAACCTCATTGCATAATAGTTTCAAAGCATTTTAATGAACAAGGTAAATTTAAATGCATTGAAGGTGTCAAGTAAAAATTTAAATTGAATTAACTAAAGCTATTCCATTGTTGAAATATCATAAAGGTTTAACTGAAGGAAACTTGTTGACTTCCCTGGTGCTACAATAAATTTATGCTCTCTAAGAAGCTTTTAACTGCTCAGAAATGTGTATAAAAATAGGTTTAAAATCTTGTTACAATGCATCCTATTGTCTTTTCTTTTACTTTTCCCCCTAAATGTTCTTATAATCGTATGTTATCCAGGACATTTTCAAAAGGCTTTTATGCATATAAGACTAGATAATCTCCTGAATTGTAAAGAACACACTTTAGATTTCCATACTGAAGTAATATGGAAACAAATAATAATATTCTTACTTCACCCTCTCTCTGACTTATTCTTTTGTACTCATGTGGTAATGAGGTGTTCTTTACATACAAGAAGATTTAGGTTCTGTCTTTACAACAGAAGTAGTTGGGAAGAATCCATCTAGATAGAATCATAGGAAACTGTTTTCTTGTTTAAGCTTGAGTTAGAAAATTGGATTAAAGACATCATTATCATTTATATTTTAATATAAACTATTAACTTATAGGAAAACTGTAAGCTGAGTTGTTTTCACTACATATTTATCTTCACTTATCATATCTTGAGATAAAATTTAACTATACTACTACTTAAGTTGCCAAGTATTAAGAAATTTACTTTGACAGTAGCACCTGCAAATTTCAAATTATTTTGCAGCTGAATGAAAAGTGTTGATGTTTTGTTTTCAGGATGAAGAAGTATCCGTGTAACATTATCTCTGCACAGACCCATACGTGGCCACTCCACAGTCCTCCCATTTGTCTTAGTCACTGTATAACTGTCTCAGACTCTGCACAGAGTGACTCTGTGCAGTGATGATGTCTATTCAGTTTTGCATTGGCCATTCATGCTGTGGGAAAAAATTAGCAATGTTTTTCTTCCTGCTAAATGCATGTGAAGGACACCGTCACTCCATCTTTCATCCCACTGTCTTTGCAATAAAGTTTAAACAGTACTGTTAAACTGTTTAGTCACACATAGAGTCAAACCAAAAAGGACTATACAGATATTTTGATTCCAACCAAAATATCATCTAGCCAAACATCCTGTCTCCAGACGCTGTTGGTGCTCTTTGGCTATGGTTAGGGAAAGGTAAGCGTAGAACAAACTTACGTGTTAATTCCCTCTAATACTCCTCTGTCCTCAAACTATTTATATCTCAGGTACTTCCTGAACCAGCTGTGGTCTCTATGTACTCTGTTATCCCCAATGGATTTCACTTCACATTTGAACACTTTAACATTTGAGTTCAGCAAGTACACTTTTACAGTGGTAAATGTGATGTGTACAGACAAAAGCTATTAGAAAATATAAAGACTCTGCTTTATGCTTGCCATTTGCTCTTTGCTTTAAAAAGGTCCTACTTTGGCATTTCAAAAATGGAAACAAAAAAGACATGATTACACTTTGAAGCATAGTGTCTTGTATCTTATTTATATTGCTTATGTCATATTTCTGATCAGATGCTGTACAAATCAATCTTATTTGTGAGAATTTTGCCCGACAAATTGCAGCAGAATATACAGGTCTGGGCAGCAGTCATGAAGAAGCATAAAGACAAAAGCAATGTGATGCAAGACAAAATAGCAGAGGTTTAAAAAACAAGAGACAAATAGATCAAAATGCACTAGCTTGTGGATTTTGTACTGATTTCCTGGTGATTAATTTCTTTTTGTGGTATCTTGGCTGTTCAATGTGTCTTATTAAGTTTGGCATTAGTTTTTATGTAAGGTCTGTGTCTCAGAAGCTAGACATTTTTTTTTTTAAGAAAACCCACAAAGGGCAGAAGAAGAAGCAAAAGTACTTCATTTGCAGTGAAGAGTATACCTCATTACAAGATGCACTTTTAAAACTGGTTGCAGTAGCTACTAAAATATATGAGGTTTATTCTTTCATTATTGGTATCTTTCCCTCTTAAATGAGAAAATAAAAGTAAAATTTGACTGGTCAACTTTCTGAATTCTGTTTTACTTAAATCTTAAGTCAGGGCAATTTACCAATACCAAACTGTGTTTGTAAATTTTTATAATATTTTGAACCAGTAAAAAAACACCTGCTTTCATACACCAAATCCACCTTGTCTATTTCCACTGGGAGATTTTATCCTATCTATGGTAGTATAAATTTAGAAACAAAAGGCAAATAAACTGTCCTAAGAGGGACTAAAGTAGTGCAAAATATTTTTCCCTGAGAAAAGGAAATATTTATTTGTTTGTTTGTTGCTATTGAAAAATGTTACTGAAGTACCCCATCTAAAAAACAAAACAAAACAAAACAGAACAAAACAAAACAAGGAAATCTTTTACATTTGTAATTTTTCCACCTTGCCATTAAATTTCTAGTAACTTGTAATCTATTACAACCTGGCATGGACTACAGAGAATGAAGTTTGTACAGGTGTGACTATGCATACCAAATGAAAAATTTTGAGATTAGAATTAAATGAGCATAGAGTAGCTCATATTTAAATTGAGAAAGTAAAATGCATGAAGTTTTACTTGAGTTTAAATTGAGAAATGAATTGATGCCGTGAAAGACGAAATCAGGACTCAATAGCCGGGATGACTATTAAGCAGGTATTCTTTATTGCAGCGCTGGACGCACAGGGGATCGCTCCTCCAAATGTGCGTGCCAGACAGAGTTGGTTTGACAACATATATGCATACATACATACATATTCATGTAAGGTGTTTTAACATATTCATTAGTTTCCAGTAATTCATTACCATACGCTATCTCTTTCTTGGAATTCTCCATTTGTCAGAGATAAGATAACATTGTGCTGGCCTCACGACTGTTGTTGCCTACATGCCAGCCTTCCTGTCTTGTTACTTATCGTAGCTCTGCAGGGGTTGTAGGCCCCTCTTTGTGGTCAGTCATTTGCTAAGTCATACTTAGATAAGCAAACCTTCAAGCCATTCCTGGCCTTAGATAAGCAAACCTTCAAGCCATTCCTGGCCTTATTCTTTAATTCAATCCCCCCTTTTCTTTAAGCTATTGCAAATTCTTTTGCATAATTTTGTTTACAGCCCATAATACATGTACTTGTTGAGCAACAGTCCGTACTTTCCACCATAACCAAATGTTGAGAAGTGTTAGCAGTAGGACTACAAAAATCAACACTAGTACAGGATGCAATAAGAAGTTGAAAAACTGAGCAGCAGTTGGAGATTTTAGTGAGGTATTTAAAAAATGTCCCACTAATGGTGTTCACCAGTTTTCTCGATGGCTGTGATGATTTTCTTTATTTCCAGAGTATTGTGCTGGACTTGCCATAATGTTCGTTTCGAAACTTCCTTCACCTTCTTTAGCAACATTTTAATGTCTGGGTGGGAAAGCATTTTCTTAAGGACATTAATGTCCATTCCAATCTGTAGTTTAGGTACATCATTGTATAGCATGAAATTGTCAGAGATCAACTGAGAAGTGGTTATAGGAACAGAATAATTAAAATCACAACCTTGTATCTTGGTAAAATTACAAACACAAAAGTTAGTTCCATTTGTTTCTTCTTCACAAGTATCAATGCTAACATTAACACAACTAGTTCTTATACAGACGCATCCTTTCCCTACATAATACACCTGTGATTGAGCATGTTCTGAGGGAAGCATCTCGAATGTGCACATATTGTCTTCTGTGTCTAAGCACAAATCTTCATTTTCAATGACTGCATTCTCACAAATATATCCTAGTTGTTCCTTTTGCATGCAAGCTTCAGTACTAATGGTCTGCCATTTCCTTATATCATTTTTATATCTTGCCCAAACATTATGGTTTATTGGTCTGACTACTACATCTTGATGGATTGCCCCTAGTGCTAAAATAGGGAAAATGTCCCACACTTTTGCTTTTTGAATTGTCAGCACATAGGCTTCAATTTGTTCTTTTGTGTCATCATAAGTGAAATTAACTAATTGCCACCAAGCCTGATGTTTTAATTCGAATGGGGTGGTAGTATCGTTCTTAGCGATAATTTCTCTAATTTCCTGTGGTAGGTTTCCTGACATCCCTTCTCTGATTATATCAGAAACCACAGATTGTATCCAAAGTTGTGTTTGTATACACTGAATGGCAATAGAGACATTTCCTTGTAGTCCTTGTACAAAAGTTGCTACCGCTTGGAAATCCTCAGTAGTATGGTTAGATAATAGGGAAATGAAATCAACAGTCAATTGTTGAGCTCCAGCCAGAGTGATTAAAGATGATCTTAATGGTACCTCTAGTCTTCCTAAATCAGAGGTGACTGTGCTCAGTTTATTAATTATTACTTCCTGATCAATCGAGTTTAAAACTCCGAGTCCAGATCCAAACCATCCTGTTAAATCTCTCTGTTTCCTTGAGTGGTGAGCTCTGGAATGTAACCATGCCTTCCACCCTTTAAGACTTTGTGAAACAAAAGGTAAGCATTCTGATTTTATCTGAGATATATCAGCTTGTACCTTTACCCGTACCTTCTTTAAAGAATATGTGGGGTCCAGAAATAATTTTTGCTCATTGGATTGTCTCACTACATAAGGGCCTGCGAACGAAAGGTTATGGTATTTCACAGCACAGTTAGCTGGTTCAAACAGAGGGATGGTGGTTGGACTTGGAGTAATTATATTTCTCCGAGGCACATGGAGCGCAAAGGGGAATAAGAATGTTGCTGAACGGCTTTCTAGACTAAATAATGCACCTATCTTATAAACTGCTTCTCCTTTATTTACTATAGTAAAGCTACATTGAGGTTGCTGACATGTAGCCTTCCGAGTACCTGTTGGTACTTCCCATATGATAAATTTCCCCTTTTCAGTGCTATTGTATTTTATATTTATAGTGATGTTTTCAGCCTTTTCAGATGCGTTACAAGTAACCATACTCCTAAAGGTAAATGGTTGAGTGAAAGTTTTTATCTCCTTTTTGCATGCTATATTTTCCCCATGTATTACATATTTCTTATATATTATTGGTGCATTATAATTGAGAATAGTATTTGAACGTTTCACTTTTGGAAAGGGGATAAGTTGGGGAGAGAGAGTAATCGATTTAATCGTTTGGGCTTTATCCATACCATGTGTGGTGGTTATATCCTTTGGGACTAAAATCAAGGCTACTTGTCGGTATGATCTTATCATTTTCCTTGCATCATGTATAACTCCTATGCACCTAATCATTGAACTAACTTTAGGTTGAACCTCTACTTGACAGTATTCTTGGTGAAGTGTACATACTGCCGAGAATATACATTGTTGTGGCTCTTCTAAATTGTATACATAAATGCCAACCATCATTACAGTGGTTAAATACACTTGTGCCATATCAAATTTACATGCTATATCAACCAAGCTGTTCTCTCTTATTTCAAAAGACGGTATTTGTCGTGAATTTCCCCAATCTCTTCTAATCTGACCATCAATCTTTAAAACTGTGTATACCTTAGTCTTCTTATATGTGATATTCAGACCTGCATTGCCCAAATATCCATTCCTGGTCCAATCTTCAGGGTCAGGGACATCATCTAGATCTTGATGGGTGGTGCAGTTCTCTGTCCATCCAGCTGTGATGTAGAAGATCATAATAATGATTTCCGGAATCGCAGTTTTGCTGATCCAGTACATTCGGAGGTCCATCTCTGCTCAAGTCGGGATCTTCCTTAAGACTCGAAGCCGTCTTTTGTAATCTTAGTTTTAAGGGTCCTAAAGGTTTCAGAAGTCCATTGCTTGTCTGGAGCTTTTTTCTTTTCATGCGAGAATAGTGAATCCAGGACAGCTGTTCTTTCACTTTGATTGCAGTGAAGGTGGTCAGTAGCACTTGGAATGGTCCGTTCCACTTCCCTTCCAGTGGATTACCTGAGAAATTCTTGATATAAACCCAACTTCCAGGACTAAAGGGATGGATAGGATGATCCAATCCCTTAACTCTGTTTCCTAGGACAGTCTTATTGATTTTCTCTAATTGTTTTCCCAAAGAAATAACATAATTTTGTAAATAGGAATTACCCAACTGATTTAAATCTTCCCCTTTATATTTTGTCTGGTATGGTCTCCCATATAATATTTCAAAAGGGCTTAGGTTCTCTTTAGCTCTTGGCTTTACTCGTAGTCTAAGCAGAGCTATGGGTAATGCTTGATACCAATACAAATCTGCTTCTTGACATATTTTGGCTATCTGCTGTTTTATCATGTGATTCATTTTTTCTACTTGCCCACTGGCCTGCGGCCTATATGGGATGTGTAACTGCCAATCAATTCCCAATAGTTTGCCAACTTGTTGCACTATTTGTGCACAGAAGTGAGTACCTCCATCTGATAAGATGACTATAGGTACTCTAAATCGAGGTATTATCTCGTTCAATAACACTTTAGTCACTTCTCTTGCCTGGTTTGTTCTACAGGGAAAAGCCTCTGGCCATCCAGAAAAGGTGTCTGTAAGCACCAATAAGTACTTATACCCCCCTTTTCTTGGGAGTTCGGAAAAATCAATTTGCCAATGGTCTCCTGGTACGTTTCCTTTTAAGGAAAAATTAAGGCTAGAATTTGTTCTTTCTGTATTCTTTCTGCTGCCTGTTTAGCCTCATAATCAGCCAATCTGTTACCTCTTTCTTGGTCAGTGTTACCCCTCAGATGTCCTCGACAATGCATGATGGCGACGCTAGCTGGTAACCGTACTGCCTCCAGTAGACGAAGTATTTCTTCTGCATGTTTGATTTGTTTTCCTTGCGCAGTTAGCGATCCTCGTTCCTTCCAGACTGCTCCATGGGCATGAACAACCCCAAAAGCATATTTAGAGTCTGTCCATATATTTATCCTTTTCCCTTTTGCCAATTCCAAAGCTCTAGTCAAAGCAATAATCTCAGCCTTTTGAGCTGACGTCCCAGTAGGCAGTGGTTGGGATTCAATTACCTTATTTGTTGTGGTCACCGCATATCCAGCTTTACGGATACCTTGTCGGACAAAGCTACTTCCATCCGTAAACCAGGAATCCTGTGCGTCCTCCAGGGGTTCTTCTTTCAGGTCTGGTCTGCTGGAGTACACAGTCTCTATTGTTTCCAAACAGTCATGCGTCAGTGGTTCAGTTGTTGCTCCACTAAGGAAAGAGGCTGGGTTCACAACGTTAGTCACTTCAATTTTAATGTCATCCGATTCAACAAGGATGGCCTGGTATTTCAAAAACCTGGATGGGGAAAGCCAGTGATTCCCTTTTTGTTCTAATACAGCGGATACCGTATGTGAAACCAACACTGTCATCTTCTGGCCCAAAGTAAATTTCCGGGCTTCCTCAATATTTAGTATTACGGCCGCTACCGCTCGTAAACATCCTGGCCATCCTTTACTTACTTCATCTAATTGTTTGGAGAAGTAAGCTACGGCTCTTTTGTATGGTCCCAGCCGCTGAGCTAAAACTCCTAGAGCTATTCCTTGTTTCTCGTGAGAAAAGAGCCAGAAAGGTTTGGTTACATCAGGCAAGCCCAAGGCTGGGGCTCTCATGAGTTCCTTTTTAAGTATTTCAAATGCGTTCTGAGCTTCTTTGGACCATATCAATCCAGTGGGATTATTTTTCAAGAGTTCATATAAAGGTTTCACTATTATTCCATAGTTATAAATCCATAATTGACACCAACCTGTCATTCCCAAGAAGGTTCTGAGTTCTTTTACCGTCTGAGGAAGTGGGGTTTTACAGATGGCTTCCTTTCGTCCAGTTCCCAACTCCCGTTGTCCTCCAGATAATTCATATCCCAGGTAGGTCACTTGCTGTTGTATCATTTGAATTTTCTGTTGAGAGACTCGATATCCATTTAGTCCAAGAAAGTTTAACAAGCTCGCAGTCCATTGGATACACTCAGGTTTTGTTTCAGTTGCTATTAATAGGTCATCCATGTATTGTAAAAGGGTTCCGTTTTTGGAATGAGGCTTCCATGCCTCAAGCTCACGTGCTAATTGATTTTTGAAAATTGTTGGACTGTTTTTGAAACCTTGGGGTAACACTGTCCAAGTAAGCTGGGTTTTCCTACCAGTGGTAGGGCTTTCCCATTCAAAAGCAAACAACTTTTGACTTTCTTTAGCCAAAGGCAGACAAAAGAATGCATCTTTTAGGTCTAGTACTGTAATCCGATCTGTTTTCCTAATTTAAATCTAAGGGGTTCCAAAAAGAACGCCTTTCTCTGCTGGCCAGTGGCTCCTATCACATTTACAAAATCCTTGCTTACAGGCATTAATTCTTGATTTAAAACAGAGAAAGAGGCACCTGTATCTATTAAAAATTCAACTTCTTTCTCTTGTTCCCCTAGCTTTATTTTGACCAGTGGATCTGCTAGGGTAGATGCCCCAGGTCTCTGTCAATCGGTCTCTGCTCTGGCTATCAAGGCAGGTGGGGTACCTTTAAGCTCAGGGCATTCATTTTTCCAGTGTCCTTTTTCCCAGCAATATGCACATTGATTCCTCCCCAATACATTTCCAACATTAACACCTCTACCTCTTGCCAAATTCCTTAGTCCTCCTCTAGTCCCAAAAGGCATCCCTCTTCCACGTCCTCTAAATCCCCTATCCACATCTTCCCGATTTCCAAAAACTCTCCAGGCTTCTTCAAGTAATTTCTCCAGATCCCTTATCTCTGGTTCTTGCAGTAACTGGAGTAAAAGCAGTTGCTGCCCCCCCTTCTTCCTCACCGCTGCCGCCACCCTCTGTCTCAGGGAATGGCGACTGGGGTGGAGAAAGCGGATCTGGCAATGGAGGGGGGGGCATTCCCAAATCCTCAAGCTGATCCTCTGTTTCCTCTTTACTCTTCCTGGATTCTGTTACTTTTAAACACCTTTGTCCAATACTACATGCCGAGCAACACCTCTTCATTTTCTGCTGCCCCTTCCTTTTATCGTTGTGTCCTTTCTCGAGGGACAAAACTAGAGGGTCTTGTGGCAGCACACCAAATCCACAGTCCCTTTGCCACTCAGGACGACCTCACAAAGTGAAAAACATATCCGCATACATAACCTCATCCCATTTTCCTTCTCTCCGTAAGAACAACATCAATTGCAACATAGTATTATAGTTCAGAGTCCCATTAAAGGGCCACTTTTCTCCATCATCTAATTTATATAAGGGCCACCATTGATTACAATATTTTATCAAAGTTTTCTTATTCACATTCCCACCTGACGGTCCTCCTATATTTTTCCAATGTTTTAAAATACATCCTATAGGACTCTTTTTCACAATTCCGCCACTTTGCTGTCCTCCCATCTTTATTAATTTAACTCCCCACACAGTACAGTTAGAGGATAAAATTATCTCCCTAATGTTCCTCCCACTGCATCCACAGCTGACAATTAGGGCACTCAAAATCAGTACAATCTGGATTAGACCCAAACCAATGAGCATAAAATATCTTAAAACAATTTTAACATTCAACACTTATTGCTTGCTTTACACCCGTTATGGAGGGAACAATATTCATTTACATGACCGGTCACATTTATCTGACAAACAAAATACACTCACTTCGTTCGTCTCCGGCCGCACCCCTCGCGGGATAACGGAACCGCGGATCAGAACTCCGCACTCGCTTCGCAGCTGCGCCGCGTCTCAGTCACTCAAATCATACATACAGGAGCTAGCTCAATTCATTCACACACCTTTTATCAAATCCAAATCAGCTTTCAATAAACAATTCCTTTAAACAGTTCCAGTTTCAATACCGATAAGTTACTACCACCACAATGTACGTTATTGCAAAAGTACCTAGCTCGCGACTTACTCGCGACTGTACCCAACGTACTAAAACCAAGTGTATGGAATACAAAAGTACGAAACACAGCATGTGTTCATACCCACATACACAAACCAAACCAAGTGCACGAAATACAAAAGTACAAAGCACAGCATGTGCCTATACCCGCGTACACAACCCAAACCAAATGTACG